AGATCGTTGTTGTGAAGCAAAAACATCAGAGGCCCCAAGCAAGTTCTCTGCATCACACAGCTTATCATGACTTATAATAAGCGGCTTAATCTGAAGTTGTGTGGAGTTTGTCCGTTACGAAATTACAGTGAGGAATGATTTACGATACTAAACATCATGTGAGGTTAAGATAGCGAGTATGGTTCATTTTTAACTACGGCTCACTTTGCAATAACCCGAACAATGATTTGAGAGACAAGCTCTCAGAAAGTGAGTTTACCACGGTTCACGATGCCAGTGCGAACCTCTGCGAAGCAGAGGTGAAGCACTGGTCATTATAATAAGCGGCTTAATCTGAAGTTGTGTGGAGTTTGTCCGTTACGAAATTACAGTGAGGAATGATTTACGATACTAAACATCATGTGAGGTTAAGAGCACTGGTTGTTAAATAAACTGAAGGAGATTCATTGACCCGCACCCTTTGCATGCGGTCAAGTAAAAAGGCTTCAAAACGCAACAAGCAGCCTATCATGACTTATAATAAAGCGCGTGCCTGTCTGTCTGTGTGTGTGTTTATGTCTGTCTGTCACGAAATTCATAGAGCGTTTTGTAGGCAAGGTCTTGAGCTGAAATTTTGGTCATAGCACCCTACCAGCATGTAGGTAAAAAGTGCAAAAGCACAAGCTGATCCGATATTTGGGACCTTTGAAAACTGCGCGTCAAACGGGCCCACGCAGCTTTTGGCACGCAAAACTGGGTCTCTTATTCGATTTTTTGCAAAGTTATGATTTGCCTGACATGTACATCTGCGCCTCATGAATTCTAACCCAAAAAGTGCTCAAAAACTTTGCTTTTCTGCGACAACAGCGCCAAGAAGTGGTGACCGCTTAGACAGTCGATTTGGCAAGGTTTTACCTTCAGACTTGGAGAGATTTTTGCACGGAAATTTAGCTTAAAGTGACTATTACCCTTATGACGACTACCGAGCCAAAACAAATCCAGTGATCTAATCAAATTCGCAAGTGTTCCTTTGCGACAAGTTTTTTTCTCTCAAAATTACCGACCTTACGTGGAGATGCTTTAAGAATGAACAGTTGTTTACTATTCATTTGTGATATTCAGCATCGCATGGTGGGTTTCAAAGTCATCAGTATGCGAACATGAGAAAGGCAAACGGATAGGAGAGCCAGTGCGAATCTCCGCGAAGCGGAGGTGACGCACTGGTAGTGCCATAAGACTCCAGTTTCATGAAAAAAGAAGAGGTAAGGGCAGGATGGTATCGTTGACATTAGTGCCACAGTGTGAACCTTCTAGGAGATCCATGCTTGTTTTGTGCACCAGATGGTTGCTTGTAGAAAATGTACAAATTTGTTTAGAAATTATTCTTTCGAAAACTATGCTCACTCATGATGTTAAACAGATCGGCCTATGGCTTGATACATACCTCGCTACTTAGATATGGACAAAACCAGCGAGCAGCGAAGGCAGCGCTGCTTCAGCTGACCAGCGCTGCAGTCGGCTGCTTCTTGCGTGCATGTTGAGTGCAAAAACCATTCAAAATAACTGCGTATCGTCATTTATTGTGCCAAAAAGAAGAGAATTAGCGTGTTTTGAGTTGGATCTGGAGTGGTATTCCATTTTTAAGAGAAGTTCTTCGTCCTCCGTCTTCCAAAATAGCATCATACGAGCAAACTTAAGAGAGCAGTTTGAGTGTACTTATTCCATTCTGATTTTTATCAGGGCAATGGCTGTCCCTGCAGTATGAGAGTGTTCCTCAGGCAATAACATGACCACTGAAGGCCATTGGAGGCCAAATTTTTATGACTATACCATCAGCTTCTCAAATTATTGCCAATCTCTCTAGCTAATTTCAATTACTTCATATTTCTTCAAGTTCATGAAGTATATCCCTCCAGTTGGTATAACTTCTGGCCACAGCCCTGGAAAATCGGCTCATCAAGTGCAGTGCGTCATAGGGTAGGAGCTTCTCACGGAGAAAAAATCCTTGAAACTGCAAAGCCAAATTGGAGCAATACTTAATGATGCTTCCTAAGAACATATGAAAGTCCGTCGGGGTATGTGGACCCTCTAAAGTCCTGGTCATACCAACAAGAAAATCACCGCGATGCGATTTGTGCAACCGGGCACCTGTCATACGCCCTATGCATGCCGGCGAATTATGAATCGCTTGTGCTATATAGCTGTCCGGCGCGACCTATCGCTGACCGTGTTTTCCTAGGCCATACCTATTCCAACTATATCGCCGCGATTTGGCCGAAATCTTGCTATATCGCGTCGCTAGTTTGAAATCAGCGATGCGGCGATATCGCTAGAATTGGATTTCTTTTCTGAAAATTTTGAAATAGTTTTTTCTCTTTCGACTTGGTTTTTTTTGCGAAAATGTTGAGATGTGAAGCATTTCCTAAATTGCACTTCTTTGGTGTTGTGATGCGCCTCCCTTCTATTTCGTGCCATCAGTCAAGATACTTAAACTTAGATACTTAGATGACTCGTCCTCACGTGACGTGCGGGCCCAGTACAGAAGTTGCCATTGATCCCTGTCCCTCGCTTCAGACATCCACGGTCTTCTTAGTCGTCGTCGGTGGCTGCGTCCACGAGTTCAAGGGGCGAAAGTCGTATCCAGCTGATTTCTCAGCTGGTCCATCCGTTCCACGAACACGTCTGCCCATCTCGTTGGGGTCTTGAGGACGTTTGGCTTCGCGGGGAATCCACTCAGATGTTCTTAGTGTACGTCTGTCGTCTGCTCTTCTCATTATGTGACGGGCCCATCGGTTTGACTTTCGCAACGTATTCCGCTGGGTCACGAAGACGGGACATTCTTCTCATATCCGTACTGCGAAGTCCGACTAGATGATGCTTTCGTCGGGTCATCTTCAAAAGACTGCGCTCGAGCGCTCTGTGCGTGGTCCGTAAAGCTTTCGACGTGACTGCATCGGCTCCAGTCTCAGCTACGTAACAGAGCGCCGGGAGAACGGTTGAGTGGAACAGGTGGGCACGAATCTCCGGGTGTCAGTTGGTCGGTGGCTTCCTTCAGAGGCCCGAAGGCGGCGCAGGCTGCTCTTCTTCCTGTTAAGTTCTTCCCTCAAGTCGTTCTTCATGTTCGTCGAACGTCCGCGATACACGTACGTCTCCAGGATGGGCGTGCCTTCCAATTCCATTTCTGCATCTTCGCAAAAGGCGTTCTTACTGAGTCTTCTTCCGATTTATTCGCAATCCGATCGGATTGCGATCGGCTTGCGAATCGGATCAGTCAAGATGAATACTTTTAAGTGTTAATAACTGCATAATTGAATATGCGTAGTATTCAGTAATCTGAATATCGCGATAGATTAGCAACGTATGAAACCGCAGTTACAAATTGAGAAATTTGGCTTTGCATCAGGTATCTCATGAGGAAAGTTGAATGATATATGCAAATGCGCGAGAAGCTAACACGAATTGTTGATGTTGAACGTATCCGTGTCACAAAAGACAAAGAAACCTGTAAATGCAAAGAGATCACGCTGATTACCTCTTTTGGATTCCAAAAGAAAACGTAGAAGAGTGCTGAGGTGTACATTTTTACCTTATGATCGCTAGACGGTTAGGTATGTCCAGAACCCGCCCAGCGATTTGAAAGTAGCGATTTCGTCGCTTTGATCATGAAATTCTTCGGCGACGGAATCGCGACGATGAAATCGCTGCACGTATGGCCAGGGCTCAAGGAAATGGACATAGGTTGCCGGTAACGGTTGTCGAGGTTGCCGAGGTTGTCGGCGTTGCCGGGGTCAGAGACAGCTTAGAGAGCGCGCGAAACGTGGAGGCTATCATGAGGTCCTACAACGAGCGGCAACCTTGGCAGCTTCATTAGCAACGCCGGCAACCTCGGCAACCCCAGCAACCTCGGCAACGCCGGCAATGTCAGCAACTGTTGCCGGCAACCTATGGTGGTTCCCTAAAAAGGAGGAGCATCCCAAGAACTTGGTATACCGTATCAATGGCGTTATCCAAATGATCAATCCTCGCATTTGTAAAACGTAGACAATCAATCTTCGACGTTATTGGATTTTTATGAACGGACTTGAAAAAATTGGTGAATTTCTCTGTTTTGTGCTTATCAGACACACAAGGTTGAGTCGTATATAGCGCCAATGTTTGGTACCCTCAAATATTGATTGAGGTGGTTGAAAGTTCGTATATTTCGGTTACCAGCCATTTTGCTTTCTTTTATGAGTCTGCAACAGTACAGTTCACGTTTGATTTTTTTTCTGAGAACCTTTGATATTTTTGAATTCCAATTCTGCTTCTTGCGCGGTATAGCCTGGAGACCTTTGCTTCAAGCTTGCGTATTGCTTTGGAATAAAAAAGCATACGGTCACGACTGGTTTTGCCAAAGGAACGAGATTGTTCAAGCATTGTTCATAGCAAATTTCAAAGCTACATTTGAAAAGCAAAGGCTACACGAAGCGGTTTGTAGTAATGAGTATCAAAATGTCGTTGCGCCATCCAGCAGGTCTCTGAACTGACGGTGGCACTTCCCACCACCAGGTTCGAAAGGTTTGCCGGCAATTTGCTCGTGAATGATCGCAGAGACACCTTCTCAAAATATGGACCTCCTAGCAATTTGTTCAAGCGAGATTACGTGTGATCAACGAGCCCATACTTCCAACTCAATAAAATTTAACCAAGTGGAAGATTTGCAAGATGATTCTTTCTGAATTCTGGCCTCAAATTTTACGGTCACGTCGAAGGCTCACACCAAGATGTGAAAAGAGCAAGTGGCAAAGCGGAAGAATTTACGAGAACTGTATAAAAAGAAACGGATCTTGTGCATTTGTATTTAGTACATAATGTACCCATGTCTCTTTCTTTACTTTTGGTTCTTCATTTTCACATAACTATAATAGTTTCCACTTTTAGTTGCAAATAAATGAATTTGTCGAAAAATCTTTCGCGCCCATCTCTCGCTACACAAACGCAATGCTGCAGAATAGCTTCAGCAGCTGGCCGCGGGGTGGTTCTGTTTTCGTGGGCGAAAACAGATGGCTGGATGGTTTGTGTGCTTTACATCTTGCTCACTGCAAACACATTCATTCATCTCTGCATTACTTTTCATGAAAATGAATGCGCTTAGACTTCGTGCACTAGTTTGTTGTCGTTCCAAAAATAAACTTCTTTCGAATCTGCGCAAATAATATCGACTTGCAGATCCCATGAGCTTGTATGGATTCGCCAAGTTCGAGTAAATCTCCAACACCAACTCGAGGACGTCACTTCACGAAAGCAAATCAGGATTCTGATTTGTGCGCCACGGTCGATATCCCGAAAATCCACCCAAGGTATACTCCATCACCATGTTTTTCGTTTTTTTCTTCAATTTTCGTTGCACATTCTTGTTATCTGTCTCCTTCGTTTCTATTCATTCGCGTCTAGTTTCCTTTGCAAATACTATTGAAGGGCTGTTGGGGCAAACGGAAGGAATTCGGAGTATTTTTCCGTAAAATGTCTGCAAGCTTGCATATAAAACCGAATCCGACATATAGATTAGAAACTTAGGCTGACGGCAGTGCTTCCAGGAAATTTGCTAACGCCGATCATGAAAATTGTTTTAGCGCATTTTTTCGCATATGCGAAAGTTTCATGTTGCGCGGTTGGATTAGGTAGCCAAAGGAACAAAGTCGTGGATATCCTTGTTCGAAAACAATGTCCTATAAACGTGTATAGAAACTGTAAGGATTTCAACAGTAAGTTCCCGAAAAGGCAGCATCCCGGCAAAGTGATGGGGACCGGGTTACAGTGTTGCAAAGGCAGACCTCCCTCCCCCCCCCCCCCAAAAAAAACTAATCTATCAGTGAAGACTGGAGCAAAAAAAGCGCGTCGGGAAAGCCCAAAATGCTCCGAAGGTCCTCCTGACTCCGCCCACTTGCACATTATATGCACGAACGCGGACATGGAAAGCGAATAAAGCGCGTTTAGCTATTCAAGCGCTGCAAGGTCCAGATATGGCTTCCGCATGGCGAGAAGACTCCGGAAAGTTGAGAAACCTTAGAGCAAAATTTTGCCGTGACACTACCTGAAATGTCTGCTGCCGAACGAAGGAAGTTGGTCCACGGAAGCGGCACAGGCGCAAGCGTGGTTTTATGCTTATAAGACACACGAAGCACAAATGATTTGTCCGCGCGCTACGTTCGCGATTGTTTTGCTCGTTCTGCTACTGTCCCAACGCGGTTGTACATTATAATACTTTCGGAGTAGACCGATCAGATCTTTTCGGGCGATATGTTATTAGTCTGGTCCGATCGTTGTAAAAATCCGAAAGTCCAAGATGTTTTCGTATGCTTTTTGTGAGGAATCTGGCTTATTTACGATTTGCGAGGAATGTGTGCGGCAATATCTCAAATACCTCACTTTCCCCTTCCCCTTCTTCGAAATCTCAATAGCAAATATTGCGTACCGTTATCACGTTCTGGGATTCCATTTTTGGCAGATATCGTAACTTCAAGAGTAACTTGGTCGCTACTGACATACCGCTCAAGACCTTCTCTAGTGGAAAGACCTCTCTTCTCGCTGCAAATAGTGTCTTCGATCAGCTAGCAAGCTTTCATTTTTTCTTAAAATCGTATCTTTGGGTAATCGCGCTCGAAAAATCATGCATTTTCAGTCAAATCGACGATCTCAATAGCACAAAGCTTGGCGAAGGGACATTCGGTCACGTAATCAAATGTCGGTTCCGCCGTACACCTGACTCACCATGGGAGTAAGTCAATCATTTCATTTCTTGTTTGAACAGTTTCGCATATAAAGTTTCCCTTCATATTCTGTTCGATATTCTGCCTTAAGAAACATAGCCATAAAGTACGGCACGGATCCATCTCACCGGGAGAATCTCATTCGAGAAGCAAAAGTCATACTGACTCACGTGGATCACCCAAACTGCATAAGAATCTTCGGGTTCTACGATTGTCCAAAAAATGGTACGGGTGTTGCTATGGAGCTGATGGACTGCAATCTAGCTTTTTGTGGGTTACTCATATAGCTACCAGTTCTCTTCAAATGAAAATATTTTAGTGATCTCGAAGCAGTCTATCAAGTACGAGATTGATCACGCAGTTTCGTGGCTATATCAACTATCAGATGCAATGAATTATTTTCATAGTAGGAATCAAGTCCATAGAGATCTAAAATTACAGAAGTAAGTAGCTTTTCCACAGCATTCTCATATTTTTCTATATTTATCATTCGCCTTTGTCTATATCTTGGCTTTGATCACTTTTGCCTTCTTTTCTTGCACTTTCGAGTCTCCGCTTACAGCAAAGTTGACTTGCAATTCGCATCACTTACAAATGACTCGAGAAAAAGTGTCGCGCGGAAAACACTCAGTCAATGGCGGTAGTTTCCGTGGAGAAGAAGTATCACGATTGTTGAATTTGGATGGGAAATCTCCTGCGAAGCGTCAATTCTAAAAAGTTTATGACTAGTAAAAAAAGTTGTTGTATTAGGTGGCTGATATCTCAGCTTTAGATAGAAACATACTCTCGTTGAGCTTGTAGCTGTGTAAGAAGGGAAGGGGAGGGAGTCATGGGCAAAACTGCTGCTACGTGAAGGCCATTTGCGCATCTGCGGAAGTAACCCATTCATCACATTTTAAAGCAGAGCCTTTGTCTTTGTTTATCTTGTAGTCGGATACTAGTTATGTATACAGGGTGTCCGTAAAGTATGTATACACTGTTTGATCGTTAATATCTTTCCTCCCAACAAGTCTTTTGTCTTGCTTCAGGTACCGTTTTGTAGAGCTGGCTTCAACTTAGATTTACAGTATAGAGCGAATCATGTATCGCTTTTCATTACTGTTGGATTACGGTACGAACTTCCAGTATATGGAACCAATGTGAAATACACCACTTAACAAAATTTTTTTCAAAAAATCTGAAAAATCGTGTACTAGGGTTTTCGCGCATGCTGATTCCACCTAACAACTTGTGTTTTCGGCTTTTTTGACGGTGTAATTACATTTTTGACAAATGCTGGGAATTGAGTTACCACGATTTACCGCGGATAACTTAGGAAAGAAGCATCACAGTAAAATGGGAACTTCAAGTTCGAAATCAGCGGCTCCCATTACCGTAGTATAAGAGTTTTTGGCTTGTTTGGTCTTGTTCCGAGGCAGAATATAGCCTCCAATGGCCTAAAATCTTTGTCGAAGTTCGTACCGTAATCCTACAGTAATGAAGAGAGATAGATTATTCGCTCCTAACTGTAAATCTAAGTTTGACCTCGCTCTACAAAACACTACCTGAAGCAAGGCAAAATACTTGTTGGGAGGAAAGATATCAACGATCAAACAGTGTATACATACTTTACGGAACACCCTGTATAACCCTAAGCAACTTTATAATCTGCACGCAAGAGTCAGCAATGTGCTAGATTTGATTGACACGCTTACTTTACCCTTCTATCTTGATTTCCAAAAATATCTTAGTACTCCACCAGGGATCTAGATGACTACATTGCTTCTATAAGGTTTGTTGTTAAAGCATGGCAGATTTCTTCCTATTCTTATTGTTAAAGCATGGCAGATTTCTTCCTATTCTGAAATCATGAACTTAAAGAAGAAAAAATTAGTTCGTACAACTACCTTCATCATCCAGCAACGAAGATTTCGGTATCATTTTCGAAGGCATTTTATCCCGCTAAACCACTTGAAACACCCAGATGACTCGAAACTTGATAGCGAAGCATAGCTATTAGAAACTTTCCTGCAATGTTTACCTTACTCTCACGAGTACGAGGTGCGAAGTTTTTTTGTGATATCGACCAGCTCAAACGCGCCAAAAGATTTGGCGACCCAAGGACACCTCTACCTCGCTGCGCATTACCTAAGAGAATCGTGCAGTATAGCGATCGGTTGCAAGGCACAGCGAATCGGCTGAGCTGCTTGAGTCAAAAATAAAAAAGGTGCGCCTTGTACTCTTGAAATCAGGGTAGTTGCAAAAATTGTACGGTACACGTAATGAAAATCAAATATTGAGTGTTGTTTAAACTACAGATATAATGAAAGATCTGATTGGAAGAATGCTTTAAAGCTTCAATAGAAAAATCGCAGTGAGCATGGAAGCGAGCAGAGGGCAGTTGGGTACTGATTCAGACTATTGCGAAAGAGTCTTGTTATCCCGTTACAACTTTTTTCTGCCGGTGTCATGGTAAATGAGCTGCGAAGAACAAAGTTGTTTGTGTTCAAATATGAACTGAGACAAAAGATGTCACGGATGACCATCATGTATAATACCGCGGTCAGACTGCAGCGAGATGTTTTCCAAAAAGAGTTCTTCATTTACTAAATGAAACATCGAAAGCCTTACATGTTTCTCCTATTGCTTTTCTTTGATTTTAGAGCCTTGTTGATCCTTATACAGTTTATAACCTTCAAATTTCAGCCTTCTACTTTGCAATCGCTATCGTACCCTGAAAGTTTGCGATTTTGGCACCTACACTACTTTACATGACTCGATGACTCTGAACAGAGGCACACCAATTACAATGGCTCCTGAGATTATCCGTGGTTCTAAACAATACACTGCAAAATGTGACATATATAGTTTTGGTATAATTATGTGGCAGATTATTGCGAGACGGTTAGTTGGTTTATCTTAAGCATATTCAACTGCAGCAGTTTGGTCTGAAAGATGTTTTTTCCAGCGATTCCCCTTATCAGGCTTCTCAAGCATATGTAATCTACTGGAACATTGTATCGAGTAATTTGCGGCCACCGGAGCTTACGTGCAATCCCCTACTTTCACGATTTTACAAAAGGTTTGCGTTTACCTCATAGATGGTACAGCTTATCTTTCTGATTTGCTTTTCTCCTGATGTAGCTTTTGCTTACCCAAAATTCTTTTTAAGTGCTAGCTTAGTTGCATATGTTCAGAGTTTTCTAATATAATCACTCGGTCTGTTTGAGGAATTATCATAATCACGAGTGTGATCAATTTTGCTATGGTTTTAGCTTAGGAGAGGTTAGTAAATTTGCAACCAATCTCCGATGTTTTCATGTTACAAGCAATCATTTCGTCAAAGATGCTAAGAAGGGAATGGTCAGAAGCTAACCCACCCATACCAAACAAGCTGTATATCATCGGACTCGTTTTGAAACGCTGATCACAAATATATGTTTATTATCTGCCAAGCGACTGTATGAGAGGAGTTATGAGCGTTTGAATGTGTGATTTGTTATGTGTTTCGTGGCGCATATCCCGCGAAATAGATTTCAAAAGACTTATTTAGGTTTTTGGTGAATGTGCCTCTTCCTTGTAATTGAGATAACCACAGCCACTGTAATTCCGGCCATCAGACTGCCTTTCAAGAAAGTATATTTGTGAAAACTCGAAATTTCTCATATTTGAACGCTCATAACTCCTCCCATATACTCGCTTGGCAGATAATAAGAAACATATAATTTGAAATCAGCGTTTTAAAGGCAGCGTCCGGGCAAAATTGACCTACCTCAGATGCTGTCACATTTCGACAGGGTCCCCCTCAACTAAGACAAAACAGCAAGTCCGCCCCGAAAATGTGAATTCTGAAAGTCAGGTGGGCGGGTCAAGTGCCGCTCCCCTTCCTCCTTCCGCTCCCCTTACGCCTACGAAGACGAGCTTACATGTTTGACGCGCCCCTTTGACGTGTCGTTACACGCAGTGTTTCTACCTTTGACACATGTTTTCACGTGTCACTACACCAGATAAATTTCGGAACACTCGTCCGCGATTATTGAAATAGGGTTCCAGAAACGGGGGTTTTGGAGATTTCAAGCAATTCTCGGTTCGGATTTAGATTCAGGGGCATCGAAAAAGCAAGAAACGCTAGAAATATGTAAGTCGAGGTTTTGCCCGGACGCTGCCTTTAAGAGGAGTCCGATAATATACAGCTTGTTTGAAATTTCTCGAGTTCTGACCATTCCCCTGTAAGCATATAACTTTCTAAAAGGAAGCAACTAGGCGGCTTTGATATAACTCGAATTTTCAACCTGTATTACAACAGCAAGGCAATCATTACTCGCTACCTGTGAAAAATATGAACTAGTCGTGTAAGATTGGTTCAATGTATTCCATAGGTAGCGAGTTATACATTGCTGACGTGATCGGGGAGAAAACATTCTGTATTATTTCTAAAAAATGCTCACATAGTAGAGCACCTGTTACTGACGTACTGAGCTTGTAGTGTACGATCCACATATTTTGTACACTTTCCTTTTGTTAATGAGGTGATGTTTGTTTTTTATAGGTGCTGGGATGATGATCCAGAAGTACGCCCTACCAGTGAGCAAGTGATGCACTATTTGGCCATTCTAAAAATAGTTGGTTCTGTGTTCTGTACCGTAATCTGAAGATCATTTTTGGAACATATCCTCAGGCTTTTCCAAATGGTGACGATGCTCTTATTGATACTAGTACAAATGAACCCGCAATCACTCCTCAACCAAAATCGGTTGGTTTGTCAGTGCTAGTCAACTTATGCTGCTTTTTTGTTGCTATTTCATTTTCGAGTTTTTATGGAAGAAAATGAAGATATTCTAGGCTACTCCGTGCTATCCACGACATCGACGAGTTTGCTCAGATCAGTCAACCTTAATTCGTGTTGTGCGTCTTTTTTCCTTTTTTGTCAATAAAAAGGATTCTTGAAATTTAAGAATCAAAGCCCTGCATCTCCAGCAGAATTAGCTCCACCTGCAGGCGTCAGAAATATCCGGTCGAATTCGGCGTTCACGTATATACAGAACGCATCCAGTGAGGTTCTATACCCTCCTCGATTCGATACACCTCCTAGTGACATGCCGGCAAATGTACTTGATTACATTGATCATTCATTCAAGGTTTGCTTGTTTGTCAAAATATTTTTAATTTCCCAATTCATCATTTGCAGCCTCCCGACCCAGTTATTGGTGATGAAGCGTCAGAACAAATATACAATGAGCATATCGCTGCATGTCACGAGCTTTATGATCATGATCTGAGTCTGCAACGAGCTCTTGCAGATAAGTGAGTTCTATCGAGCCTTCGATTTTATAGCTATTATTTTCATTGCATTGATTGTTTCTGCGAGTTTTTTCCTGTTTTCTAACCTATTAACAATCAATAGAACATTAGGTTCAGCTATCGCCCTTTTCCAGCGCTTCGTTTAGAGAAATGCACCTTCAGCGTTCTTTCCCAACTTTCAAAATTTGAAAAAGTAGACAGATTTAAACGTCCATTTCTTTGGACTTTGAACAACTTTCCGGACTTCTTAATATTCAAAGAGATGCTTTGATTTGGCTAAGGTATATAGCGAGCGCATAGCGCCCTCAAATTCTGTCGAACCTGATGATTTGCGGCTAAAATTTGTCTCTGGGTGATTTGTGTTGAGTAACAACTTTGTATTGGGTGGGGGGACTATATGTCGCCTAAAAGGGGCGGGCCCCGCAGTCACTTGCGTCAAATACGTACACCTTGCACATGCACGGAAAGTGGATTCGGATTTCGATAGAGTTTGTATTTTTATCACTGTTTTCAGGCATAACGCCATAGTAAATCTGGCTCATATGGAAGCTTATCGGAATCTGTTGGAGAGAAAGGTGTGTTCATGTCGATTAATATGATTTTAATCATCTGCTTGTTGATTCCAGAGGCAACTTGAACAACTCAGGGATGACGTTCTCAAAAAGATTCAGCAACAATCTTGAGCAGCGAATAGATGACTGTTACAAATCGACTTGCCTCTTGTCTGCTCATTTGCATGTATAGTCTAAAATATGTATACTTAACCTACTACGTGTCTGCCAAATGTATTTATAGTGGGTAGTGTTGTTGATTCGATGATTCGAGTGCTAATGGTAAGGTACTAAGCTTTGTGTCACATTACGGATTGTATAATTTGACATGCAATAAACAATAGAGGGTATTAGCTTCTATTAAGGATGGGGGCCTTCCTAAATAATTTGATTGACAACGAGCCAATTTTTTCAATCTGTCTCTGTGGACGAGACGTTTCTGTGTACTTCTACGCCTGGCTGGTCGCGAAGTTTTTGAAATTTACTTAAATGGGTTAAAAAAAATGTGCAAGTGACTTGTTTCTTTTTGTGAGCGATTAAAATAATTTTGTGAATTTTTTAAAAATTCAAATCAGTCTTGCATTTCCGGGGCTCAAGATTTTAGGGGTGTTATGATTTTGAGATCTCAAAGATTTTGAGAATCACTCCAAGATTTTTTTTTTCGAAGATCATCTATGCTTGAAGTAGGGTATAGCGGGCGGGGCAGCTCCGCGTGCTTGTTGCAGTCTCCGCCCAATCTAAAACATTTTTAAAATTTCTTGAATTTTGAGTACATGCATACTTTTTTGTGTACATGCATACAATTCTGAAAGTGGGCAGAGCTTGCCACTGAAGGGGTGGAACATGCCTGACGATAGGTGGGACCGACGTTGAAGTCGCTTGAGGTTTCAAGCTCATCGTGACCTCTTCTATGCGCTTTGAGCACGGAAAAAGTTTTGTAGAAAACAACGGAGTGGGCGGAGTCTGCCAAAAAAGGGACGGGCCGAGTTTTTTCTCCTATTTAGGTTTGAAGGACGGGTTTGCATAGTAATTGTAGTTCGAAAACTTTGTACTTGATGTAGTACCCTGAAAGTTTAAACTGTCTGTCGGGACGCTGCTTATTAGCATCTCGATTCGCTATCCAGACAGAATTGAAATTGTGTTCTTTCAGTACACTTCTTACAAATTTGTATAGGTATTTTTGGCTTTGGAACAATAGAATTTTGGTGTTTCTACTTTTCATACTAGAAGAACCGTTCCTTTTTTCACGGACGCAGACATACTATGAGTGGCGAACATCGCTGCGTCGCGGTTCTGACATCCTTTATCTCGCGTTCGCGCTCTCTTTGTGACTCATTATCTCACCACGTGGGACGGGGAAGTGGCGGGGGGGGGGGGAGGACATTTCTGTATCGTATATACCCTATTTTCAGGTGTATAAGCCGCAGCCTTTTCACTCTAAAGGCGCACACGCCAAAAGACTGCTTACGATGGGGCGCGTTATGTGAGAGCTACAGTGAGTTCCGACCCGCTTTAGGCGGAAATTGAATTGGCGGGAGTCCGCCTTGCAACAGCTCGCGCCGTTTCGCAGCTACAGTATATCCTATCGTGCTGAGAACCCATGTCTACGTCTCTTCAGTTTCCTTAGTCTTTGCTTAGCAAAATGCCAGCGCTATGCGCTCGCGAAGCTTCCAGTGATGCGCGCGCTGCTCCACGTAGGATGTCTCGCCTAATCCGGGATGAAACCGACTGTATGTGCGAGAAAGCGACCGCTTCGCGAGGCACATGCGCAGCGGCACGCGTGGGTCTGCTCGCGTTTAGGGCAAAAAGGGTGCGGCTTATAGACCTGAAAATAGGGTAAATCTGAGAATTACAGAGTGGTTGACGATCTAATTACAAACTCATAATGACATCACGCCAAGTACATACATACCTAATGTGGAAGATTTGTGATGAGTAAAATTTAGCTCGCAAAAGATCCCAGTACTGTACGAGTACCCTCCAATTCTGAGATAAAGTTCCTGGATAAGCCGATAAGATTTTTTTTCGGAAACACGTGATTTCCTGTTTCGCAGTGTTCGTCTTTAATTCATCATTACATCGTATGTGTATTGTGTCCAGGCCATTGCAGAAATCATCAAGCAGATTGCGAACCAAATCGCCATGACAGAGAACAAGCTTTCGTTTGTTGATTGAGCCTTATTTTTAGCTTAACCCTCACTATTCCATACATAATTTATGAATGAATCAAATTGTTACTTTCGAAAACGGACTGACAGAAAATTTTTGTCACACTCTGACATTACAACTGCTTTCAGTCCAAGATAATTTCTGAAAGATTTCAAAAATTTCAAAAGTTTCCAGTGTTGATTTACTATAATCCCGAAAAAATTTATTTACAAAAGCTCGTGAATTTTTCGAATTTTTTCGACTTTTGTTTTTGGAACGGTAGAACTGCAAGTGCACGGTACTTACAGGGCTCCTAAATTGCAGAGTCGTTTGCACCAGCGGTCGCGCGACCGCGTCGCGCCCGGGCATCAATGGCGCCGCCTCGATCGATGGCGCCGGCGCCGGAAAAATGTCCGGGCATCAATGGCGCCGCCTCGATCGATGGCGCCGGCGCCGGCAAAATGTCCGGGCGCGACGCGGTCGCGCGACAGCTGGTGCAAACGACTCTGCAATTTAGGAGCCCTGTAGCAGTATGGGCGAGTTTTTTTTTCTGGTGGGTGGGGGGGGGGGGAGGCTAGAAATTTCCGAAAGCGTGACTAATGTTGAGCCTATAGATTTGAAGAATGATCTATGCCTTTTCCCTTTTTCTCTCCCATTTCAAATTTTTTTGGACCGCCACTGGTATAATGATGTGCAGGTGCACACACTGCCCTTGAAGTTGACCAACTATCACTAAAAAATCCGTTACCGCCATATCTAGAGTGCATTTGTGTGCTTGAAAAAATTCGAAAATAGTATAAATATAAAAGTATAGGCCATTCATTGCACGCAAAGAACAGACGCAACTACGTCCGACTAATGTTAAGATAGGTCGGGCATGAAAGACAGCAGATAGCAAGAGAAGTAAAAGAGCGCTCCATGCGGGAGACGCCGACATCGTCCGCAATGACGCCCTTTCTGTGCGTGCAGCGAGTGGCCTATGTATAGGTATATAAAATCAACGTTAATAAATATACTAACCAAAAATTCTATACCATTTTAGAATATTTTCATCTCAAGTGCTAAAAACGTTTTAAGGAAACCTCGAATTTTTCATTCAATTCATGACTAGGAGAAGCGAAACCGCACTGCACACATTGTCTAAACAAGCTTAATCGTGTACTTAGCAGGTTTATACTTGTCATTTATTTCGTCCAGGTTTATACACTCTTTGGAAACAGGGAAGAACAAACTCAAACATGTTAAGACAATGTCCGCAATGCGGTCACGCGTCTCTTAGTTATAGAATAGATAATAAGTGGTTCTGCACACCATGCGCGGTAACCGACGACAACTTCAAAAACTTCTCTGTATAAGCTTTTCTTGCGTAGCAAATTGTAAAAATGTCTTCTACTGACCAATACATATCCAATGAAACCAAAGGAGGCAAGAAAACAAAGAAAAAATGGAAAATGAGCAAGTTTTAGTTTTACGATTCGTCAAAAAGTGCGCATGGTGTGCAATACGCATATCAGGTTATCAGGTTAATTGACTAGATTATAGTTTCTGCAATTTCAGTCCTTTACAGACATCCTCTCCTGCTTGTTGGCGCCAACTCCCTGGTTATTTTCCCCAAGTGCACCGTAACGGCCAATCGCTCAATTTAGTTTTTGTACAAAGTGAATTCCAAGGTTGCTATCATCAATCGTCACAGTTCAATATGTCGCCAAACACTGCCAACAATCATGCGCTTTCTTAGTGTTCCATCAAACGTTACCTACTTCATCGACTCCAGACACGGTGAGATATTTTCTTTCTTTTTCAGATGATTCTGCTAATAATTTGGATTAAGTATTCATATATATCATGTTGTCGACATTACTGATTTTTCTTGACTGAGTTTTTTGTGCGAAATTTTTGACAATTTAAGCGCACAATGTGATGTAACGAGCCTCTGAATTCTAAATCTTTTTTCATCTTTGTAGAATTTGCTATGCATGCTTTTTCGAATATTAAGGTCTGATCGTGACTGCACATATCAGAGGTTAATTGCTCAGGGTTAGAATTCTCTAGAGTACTGTAGTGTTATATTAGGTCGTTCCGAAAGTAATGTCGCTTTTTTCGAATGAACGCCACATTTCATGGAATCAAGATTTTCAAGAGGTCTTAGGAGCATTCGATGCAGCATTTCATCCTCTTTCTAATGGTTGTAATTTCGTTGCATAATTTTCATCGAGCTTTCAAAAAATTAGCAAAATCTGCAACTCATGCTTTTTGCCATGGTCAAGTTCGGCAATTTTTTAAAATTTTAGTACCTATTCTCCGAAGAAGTACAAATGGCAGGTAGATAGAGCAAACCCTATAGGAAACAGAGTAATTTTTTTTCTTTTCCTTAACTTGCTTCTTAGAGTTTCTGGAATCAGTTTTAAAATGCCATCAAATTCCATATTTGGTCAACTCAAACCTCACAGAACAAAAACCGGCAAGCGACTCGGGTGTCAATCGACGCAGCTTTTTCTCCTTTTTTTACCAGTTGTTTTTGGTTTCCGATTCATCATGTTTTCCGAAATAAAATCATCATAATTCAGATTTTGCAGGGCGCCTCCGGGTGTACCCGGTATTTTCGAAAGTTGCTAATCGGAAGCGGTAAATGCTCATTTGCTTTGTAAATTTAGTGTAAAACCATAATCCACTTTTGTAAGTTTCAAAATCCGAAGATTTATTGGTGTTTGATGCATTTGTGTCTAAGACGAGTCTGCTGAAATTCGGTGGTTCCATCAAAAAATCTATACAAAAATTATGACGAGCTAAGAAAAGTAGAAAAAAGTTGTGCTGTTTCCCGTAGGGTTTGCTCTATCCATACATAACTTGGACTCCATCCGAGGGCTGTTATAAAAATTTAGAAAAATTGTGAAACTTGACCTTTTTAAAAAGCATGGGTCGCAGGTTCTGATAATTTTTTCAGAGGTTACCAAATTTTGTGGAGTGGTTTTATAACCATTAGAAAGAGAATGAAATGCTGCATCGAATGCTACCAGAATCTCTTACACATCTTTGTTCCACGAAATGTGGCGTACGTATGAAAAAAGCGACATTACTTTCGGAACGAACTAATATATGCGTATTGCTTGATCTTTGATGCCGCTTTTATTTTTACAACTGTCGTGATTCCGAAGAACTTTTTTTGAAAGGCTGGCACTAATTAGATTTATTTTACATCATATCAGGTTGAACCAAAAGTTCGTTTGCATCATTTGAAAAAAAACTTTAAAAAATCGCATTTCCATCTCGTCACAATGTTTTTGCGTTACCTCAGTTTTGCTACAAAGTTTAAATGCACTCCTGATCGGCTGCTGCATGACGAAGGCGCAATATCTTTGGGCGCGAACGCGGCTTTATTAGCCGCAGAGCGCATGAGGCGCAGGATATACAAGGGTGCGGATATGCCGCGCAGCGTTCGCGCCGCTCAATTAATACTGCTTCTGCGCCTTCGTCATGCAGCAGTCTTTACACCTTGCTTAATCACTGTAAGCTCTGATTGCAGAGACAAAAATAGAAAAAAAAAGATATTTTGAGGTTCGGCGATTTGAGCAAGCCCTTTAAAAATCTAAAAATTGAGCAGTAAAATCCAAAACAGCATAGTGTTCATAAGCTTACTGACCTCTTTCACTAAAGTTTGTGCTGATCAAGCCTTCATTGAAAATTTATGATTTTTCAAAAAAAATTCAAAAAATCCGTTTTTCTAAAAATGATTTTTGGCATTCTTTTTTTTTGTCAAAAATCATAACCTTTAAGGAAGAGCTCGATCAGCACAAACTTTGCTCTTTTGTAAAGAGGAGGTCAGAAAACTTATGCTAGTTCGGATTTTACTGCGCAGTTTTTCGTTTAACGGGCTTTAAGGGGCTTGCTTTAAATCCAGGACCTGAAAAAATTTCTTTTTCTATTTTTATCTGTGCCAGAGCTTACACAGATCAAGCAAGATGTTATTAGAAAGTGTATTTATCTACTATTTCAACAATATTAATATGACGCAAAAATATTGCGACAAGAGGAAGTTACGATTTTCTAGAAATGGTGCGAATGAACTCTTGGTTCAATTTGATAGAATAAATCACCGATCGTTTTGTTTGAAGTAAAGTTAGCTAGGAAGTTTGAAGCTGTTCCAACTAATAAAATTTGAATGTTGCTTTCAGAATGTTGATTAGAGTCAAATCCTCCAGAATATCAACTGCAAAAGATACGAAAACATGTAATCACTAACGTCAGTTTTCCAATATAATTCAAAATATTGGTTACACATTCAAACAACTCCACGAACCTGTCCAGGATTTATTGCTAGGAAACAGAGTGTGTAAAAAATCCCACTGTATTCCCACAAGTATTCAACTTGGAAATCTTTTTGGATGACAACTTGTTTTTCTTTTCTAGCGTAATTCACTAATAAGAAAAAAGCCGCATGATTTACTTCTAACTGAGCGAACTTGTGAAATCAGCTTTTTAAGCAATTTGGGAACTAGACATTGGGGGGGGGGGGGAGAGATGTTGAAATTGTGTGCGTAGTTTTGTGTATCGATCCATATTAGGTTACCAGTCATTTTTTTGTATGGCAACTGCTTCAAGTTCTTTTTCTGAATGCTTTAACCTATTCTGATATACTGTGATGAAAAGAATGTGATTGACTACAGTCTTTTTTTTCGTTTATTCTCGCGAAGCAAACGAAGATTCTGCAAAAAAGTGTCGGGTCTTTTTAAGAGCTTGAGTTTGGCGCAACTCTACTACATGCAGAATCTTAAATAAATAAACAATAGAGGGTATTAGCTTCTATTAAGGATGGGGGCCTTCCTAAATAATTTGATTGACAACGAGCCAATTTTTTCAATCTGTCTCTGTGGACGAGACGTTTCTGTGTACTTCTACGCCTGGCTGGTCGCGAAGTTTTTGAAATTTACTTAAATGGGTTAAAAAAAATGTGCAAGTGACTTGTTTCTTTTTGTGAGCGATTAAAATAATTTTGTGAATTTTTTAAAAATTCAAATCAGTCTTGCATTTCCGGGGCTCAAGATTTTAGGGGTGTTATGATTTTGAGATCTCAAAGATTTTGAGAATCACTCCAAGATTTTTTTTTTCGAAGATCATCTATGCTTGAAGTAGGGTATAGCGGGCGGGGCAGCTCCGCGTGCTTGTTGCAGTCTCCGCCCAATCTAAAACATTTTTAAAATTTCTTGAATTTTGAGTACATGCATACTTTTTTGTGTACATGCATACAATTCTGAAAGTGGGCAGAGCTTGCCACTGAAGGGGTGGAACATGCCTGACGATAGGTGGGACCGACGTTGAAGTCGCTTGAGGTTTCAAGCTCATCGTGACCTCTTCTATGCGCTTTGAGCACGGAAAAAGTTTTGTAGAAAACAACGGAGTGGGCGGAGTCTGCCAAAAAAGGGACGGGCCGAGTTTTTTCTCCTATTTAGGTTTGAAGGACGGGTTTGCATAGTAATTGTAGTTCGAAAACTTTGTACTTGATGTAGTACCCTGAAAGTTTAAACTGTCTGTCGGGACGCTGCTTATTAGCATCTCGATTCGCTATCCAGACAGAATTGAAATTGTGTTCTTTCAGTACACTTCTTACAAATTTGTATAGGTATTTTTGGCTTTGGAACAATAGAATTTTGGTGTTTCTACTTTTCATACTAGAAGAACCGTTCCTTTTTTCACGGACGCAGACATACTATGAGTGGCGAACATCGCTGCGTCGCGGTTCTGACATCCTTTATCTCGCGTTCGCGCTCTCTTTGTGACTCATTATCTCACCACGTGGGACGGGGAAGTGGCGGGGGGGGGGGGGAGGACATTTCTGTATCGTATATACCCTATTTTCAGGTGTATAAGCCGCAGCCTTTTCACTCTAAAGGCGCACACGCCAAAAGACTGCTTACGATGGGGCGCGTTATGTGAGAGCTACAGTGAGTTCCGACCCGCTTTAGGCGGAAATTGAATTGGCGGGAGTCCGCCTTGCAACAGCTCGCGCCGTTTCGCAGCTACAGTATATCCTATCGTGCTGAGAACCCATGTCTACGTCTCTTCAGTTTCCTTAGTCTTTGCTTAGCAAAATGCCAGCGCTATGCGCTCGCGAAGCTTCCAGTGATGCGCGCGCTGCTCCACGTAGGATGTCTCGCCTAATCCGGGATGAAACCGACTGTATGTGCGAGAAAGCGACCGCTTCGCGAGGCACATGCGCAGCGGCACGCGTGGGTCTGCTCGCGTTTAGGGCAAAAAGGGTGCGGCTTATAGACCTGAAAATAGGGTAAATCTGAGAATTACAGAGTGGTTGACGATCTAATTACAAACTCATAATGACATCACGCCAAGTACATACATACCTAATGTGGAAGATTTGTGATGAGTAAAATTTAGCTCGCAAAAGATCCCAGTACTGTACGAGTACCCTCCAATTCTGAGATAAAGTTCCTGGATAAGCCGATAAGATTTTTTTTCGGAAACACGTGATTTCCTGTTTCGCAGTGTTCGTCTTTAATTCATCATTACATCGTATGTGTATTGTGTCCAGGCCATTGCAGAAATCATCAAGCAGATTGCGAACCAAATCGCCATGACAGAGAACAAGCTTTCGTTTGTTGATTGAGCCTTATTTTTAGCTTAACCCTCACTATTCCATACATAATTTATGAATGAATCAAATTGTTACTTTCGAAAACGGACTGACAGAAAATTTTTGTCACACTCTGACATTACAACTGCTTTCAGTCCAAGATAATTTCTGAAAGATTTCAAAAATTTCAAAA